ATGAACAATTCAAGAACACAGATATATTGTGCGCATGATGCCACCGAAGAACCCGTGCAACACGAGCCATTAGAAAGGGATGGACGTTACAATGAAAGGGTCATTAAACGATATACTGCACTTCAAAGTGAAGGAAATTTTGTGAAAAACATGTTCATTTGAGCAACATCTATAGCATGCAATTAACAAATTAAAGGCGGAATCATGCTTGCATGCACTCAAAACAAAACATTACCCATTAAATTCAAAGCCTAGTAGTTAGGTGAACCAAGACTCAACTCAAACAAAGTGAGTTGAGAAATTATACCTTTGTTGATTCCTCTTTGCATAAGCAAAGGATAATCACCCAAGAGATAGGGCCTTCATTCCTTACTTCTTAGATCCATGGATTTGGATGGAAGAATAGGTTTCTCCAAGTTCTCAAAATTGAGAACCTCTAAGTCTCCACACCAAGGTAAGATTTTTGGAAGAAATGAGTGACCTAGAGGAAGTAAGATTACTAGCTATTTTCCTCTAGGGTGGCCGGCCTCTTTAGAGAGAAAAGAGAGTTTGTGTTCTCATCTTTTCTCCAAAAGAAACCCTAAATGAATTTTGGCTATAAGGTCATATTTATACCTACATTCATTGGAGTGGCAAACTTGTAATTAAGTCCAAAACCCACTCCTTTATCAATATGGCCGGCCATAGGGTTTCATTGGGCTTTTTAGGCCTTTGTGAATTATTTGTCATTAAGTTGTCATACAACTTAAGTCAATGGGCTTGACGTTCGAAGCCCATTGGGCCTTGAGGCCCAAAACTAACCCGTGGTCTTTTAACGAACTTTATTCGTTTAATTAATTAACATATTAATTAATCCTTGCCATAAATAAATAATTAAACCATTTAATTATCCTTACTCATCTCCGTTGTTTCTTCAATCTCTACCTTACACGGTGTACGATCCATTAGGTTCCTTTTAGCGAGGCAGTGGGTGATTAGAACTCTTTCAAATCGATTGTGAATTGAAACTTACTTTCAATTCTCCCTTTAGTGATTATACACGTTTAGGGCTTCCACAAACCATGAGTGACACCTAGCAGTATGTCATGGTTACCCAAGCTAATCAGAAGAGGTGGATAACCTATTCAATTTAGGATTACAATGCAATACGGTCTTTCTCTAATACAATACTCTTGACCATATTGTTTGGTTTGATAGTTTATTTATGTCTACTATCCAATGTGATTCATTTACTTATATGATTACTTTGAATGTAATTTGGAACGACTTCCTAAATCTCATTCATACTCTGGCCAGAGATTTTTAATCATATCATAGAGTATTCTCCCTCAAACGGTTTGAAGGTTAGAGATCCCTTGTTACACATTCACTTGCCTCCATGGCTAAGTGGCTTAACCCCAACTATGCCGTGGACACCCGCGAATGGAGTGACTTTGACATAATCAAAGATCAAGGACCTAACCACAAGACAACTATGATGCCTTAGGTCAAAGGACTACTTTGCATTATCCTAACCATGAGTTCTCATGTGACATGAGTATGAGAACTCTTCGTTGATCGTGTTCAGTGAACTCATTCCTTATTGAGCACCTACGTACTTGTCTTGGTGTCAGTCACACCAATGACTCGAGACCAGTCACTCTCACTAAGAGAAGACATAGCACATACTGATCTTAACGGACTGTCAATGCCCAATCGGCAATCCTATGATCAGGAACGTTTAGGATATGTATACGAAAGAGAATGGTCTCATGAATCTAACTTCTTTAAATTACATTCTCCTAATTACATATTCCTTGGACTCATCGTTTAAGCATATAACATTTATATGAGACGGCTTAAAACAATAATTTATGCCCTTGATATTAAACTAGATTAGCTTAACATGTGAAATGTCCGTAAAGTATCATCATATGATTGGTTTTAGGGCACATTTCCAACACAAAGGTCATCTATGCACAATGATCGGCAAATTGACTTGATAGAGCACCAGTGGGCATTGAAACAAGCTGAAGATACTTAAGTTTATTTAGTATGTTTGTTTGTATTTGGTGTGTTTATGTAATTCTATTTGGTGTGTTTTTTGTAGTGAGTTTTTTATTATTTGGTATGTTTATGTAATTTTATTTGGTGTGAATTATTTGGTATGTTTATGTAATTTTATTTGGTGTGTTTTTTGTAGTGAGTTTTTTATTATTTGGTATGTTTATGTAATTTTATTTGGTGTGTTTTTGTAGTGAGTTTTTTATTATTTGGTATGTTTATGTAATTTTATTTCATTATACGTGAACAATTTGATGAATAAAGATTCTATTATTAGGATAAATATATTACGAAATTAAATAAATGTACTCTCACTTTAAATAAAGTCCTCACTTCAATAAATTGGAAAGAACATAAATAATAAATTACAACCCAAAGTGATTGGAAAACTATGGGCTCCGATTACAAAAAGTACCTTATTCATCATCACTTAACAAATCTGTGGTGCTAGGATCATCTTGTCTTGTTGTGCTAGGACCATCTTGTTTTGATCTCGCTTCTCTTGCACGCCTCCTTTGCACCACATCCGCTTTCTCCGACTGCCAAAAATATTTAGAATTTGGAGACATCCCTTCTAAACGCGTGTTCATAATGTCACGATCTCGTTGTGCAATTCTTTCTTCTCTAAGCAACTCCCTTTCTTGCCTAAGTAGCTCTCTTTCCCTCTGTTCAGCTTGAAATGCTTGTTGAATAGCTGCAGCTTTTGCCTCATCTTTAGCCTTTTCAACCTCATATTTCGCCAATTCCCGTGCCAACGTCAATTCACCTTGACGAGCAAGTTCTTGCATGTACTTTCCATAATCATTCTTGGAAGCACTCATTTTCCTCTTTGAAGCCTTCTTACCTTGAGGCCTAATTGGATAACGGGTCGACCCCGACGCTTGTTCAGGAATGGGCGTTTCAGGCACTTCTTCTCCATCTTCTTCATCAACATGGGAGCCATGATCGGGTGTAGAGTGTGGAGGGGTGCTGCGTACAAAGGTGATGTGTAGAGGGGTGTTGTTCATGCATACTTCTGGACCAACAAGCACAACTTTGAATTTAGGACAATCTTTAACAATATTCCAACATTCCCACCGATGGAATGATTTGTTTCTTGATTTGATTTTGGCAGCATACCATGCTTGTGCTTGAAGTTGCTACAAATGAATAATAATGAAATTATTAGGTAACAAATAAATAATACAAACAAATAATAATAATGAAATTATTAGGTAACAAATAAATAATACAAACAAATAATAATAATGAAATTAGGTCACAAATAAATAACGCAAACAAATAATAATAATGAAATTAGGTAACAAATAAATAAAACAAACAAATAATTATAATCAAATTAGGTAACAAAATAATAATACAAACAAATAATTATAATATATTCTTACCTCATATGCATAATTTGCCCCACTTCGAACATTACTACTAGCTTGTGTCAAGGCATCTCTCCACGTACTAAAGGAATGGCTAAGTATTTTCCAACGACTGGACATCAATTCTTTGGTTCTTTTCCCACTCATTTGCTTAAGAAATTTGGTATGAATTAAACTCCACATTTCTCACAACTGCATCTCATTACCCGTAAGGGAATTATGAGTAACTTCAACCCAGTTAGTGCACAACGCAACATCTTCAAGAAGCGACCAATTCGTACCTGCGTGAGAAAGATAGGAATTTGATTGAAAGTAGTTGAGAAAATATGAAATTGTGGTGTAAGGTAGATGGAGAAGAAGTGGTATTTATAGAAAAGTAAAAACAATTTTTTACAATTTTTTTTTTCAGATTTTTTACAATTTTTTTTGGATTTTTTACAATTTTTTTTTAATTTTTATTCAAATAATTAATCTCTGCTGTTGGATTTTAAAAATTTTGAATTCCAACACTCCAGATTGTGCCACGTGTCACAACGGTAACTTTTCTTAATTTTAAAACTATTTTTTTTCAATTTATAAAGCAGATTAATATCAACCGTTGATCTCAGATCGAACGGTTGATATAAAATCAACTTTTTTTTTATTACCGTTGCAAATCGAACGGCTCGTATTAAAGAGCCGTTGGGATTGAACGGACCGTGGGAAGCCACGTGGCTTCCTAACGGTAACTGGGTTGCTGGGCCAGTGCCCTGAATTCCTGTCGAGCGACGCGCCCCCCACTCGCGAGTGAGGGGCACGCGCCTAACACAAAAAAAATAAAAAATAAAAAAGCCCGGACCCAGGCCTGACGTCACGAGCCTCGGGCCATAGGCCTGTCGATTGCCCACCCCCCCCGGCCCTCGGGCTCCCACCCTCACTCGGGCTCTCCATGGCTGGAGAAGAACCAACCGGCCCTCGGGCCCTTTCCTGATGCCTGTCCCGAGCAAAGAGCAAGGCTGGACTTGCTCTAAGACCTCGAACGGGCGTTAGGTATTCTTTATTTCCAAAAAAAGAAAATAAGTCATCAAGAACCCTAAACCTAAAGTCAAACTTCCTCGCCTAGTTTGACTAATGTAATTTGATGTTTTGTGCAGTACTTATAACACATCCTAGGTCACACGATGCAATATTTGAGATTCACTCAGAAATTTGAAATTCACCAAGTAGCAGTAGCACCCTCTATTTTCTCAGGCAGATATGGAGGTTGAAGTTTAGGGTTTGAACTCTGCTAAATAATGACATTCTTCTTTTGGACCAATCAGAGAGCTTTGCTGTTTTGGGATCCTGCATGAACTGATCAGTTGTCATAAGCTGCACATCCTCCAAACTTATCATTTTTGGGTGTATTCTCACCAATGGTCCCCATAATTTTCACATGATTTTATAGGATATTAACTTATAAATTCGCAGTAATTCTAAGGATGCATTGCCTGCAATAATTTAGCAATAATTTAACTCCACCAAACTTTATATATATCTTGGCTCTTATAACCCTTGACGCACACTACAAGCTTTCTTTCCTCAGCTGATCTCGACTCCAAAGTCATGGACTTGAAGAATACTTCCCCATTTTTCTTCTTTGCCCTATTGATCTCCGTTACCAAAGCCCTTGATCCTTCTTGTGCCTCCCAATCTGATGGCTCCGATGACCTCTCCATCATTCCCACCTACAGCAAATGCTCTCCCTTCTCCTCACCCAAAACAGACTCTTTGGTCACCATTGTCCTCAACATGGCCTCCAAAGATCCAACTAGGGTTAACTACTTGTCAACCCCAGTGCCCCAAAAGACTACGTCTGCTTCGATCGCTTCAGGCCAGCAGGTCCTCAACATTGCTAACTACGTGGTCCAGCTCAAGCTCGGTACCCCGAGTCAACTCATGAACATCGTCCTAGACACTAGCAACGACATTGCTTGGGCCCCATGTTCCGGCTGCACGGGGTGCTCCTCTACCACCTTTTCACCCAACTCATCGAGCACATATGGGTCACTGGAATGCTCAGTGTCCGAATGTGCTCAAGCTCGCGGACTCTCGTGCCCGGCCACTGGGTCTACTGCCACCTTAGTTCAAGATGTTTTGAGATTAGGTAAAGATGTTATTCCCAAATACTCTTTTGGTTGCATCAATTCCATCTCGGGTGGGTCCATCCCTTCTCAAGGGTTATTAGGCCTGGGTCGCGGATCCATGTCATTACTTTCACAATCTGGGTCGCTCTACTTTGGTGTGTTTTCGTATTGTTTACCAAGTTTCAAATCATACTACTTTTCAGGTCACTCAAGCTTGGCCCGCCAGGCCAACCCAAGTTAATCCGGACCACCCCACTTCTAAGAAACCCACGCCGTCGGTCACTGTACTATGTCAACCTGACTGGAATCAGTGTGGGCCGAGTTCTTGTACCAATTTCCCCAGAGCTTCTAGCATTCAACCCTAACACCGAGGCGGGAACAATCATAAACTTGGGCACAATCATAACCCGATTCGTGCCACCCGTCTACACAGCACTCCGCGACGAATTTAGAAAACAAGTGAAGGGAACATTTTCGTCATTGGGAGCCTTTGACACTTGTTTTTCTGCCACCAATGAAGTTGTGGCCCCAACCATTACATTGCAATTCACCGGGTTGAAGTTGACACTGTCGTCAGAGAACAGCTTGATTCACAGCAGCTCAGGCTCACTGGCTTGCTTAGCGATGACGGTAGCTCCCAATAATGTGAACTCGGTGTTGAACGTGATAGCCAATTTGCAGCAGCAGAACCTTAGAATTTTGTTTGACGTTGCCAACTCTGTCGTTGGCATTGCTCGTGAGAGTTGTAATTAACTAGCTACGTAGGGTTTCTGGTGTTTTGTCTCTTTGTGTTGTGTTTAAATTGTCGCAATGCAATATATATAGGTGATGGCTTGTGACAAATAAAAATGCAGGATAAGCCCTGCTGGTGTTGAATTTGGAGATGGTGTGTAAGCTGTTAATAATTACTATGTGGTAATTTTAGGAAAGAGAACTTAATTATTGGAGTTTTTATTCTGAATCTCTGATTGTGACTTGATGAGCTTTGAAATGAACTAATTTTGGAGTTCACATAACTATAACAGTAGCCATTTAGGTTAAAAGAACACAAGAATTTAACGAGGTTAGTAATTTGTGTTTTCGTTCTTGTGATCGCGTTGAGAAATTTCATTAGTAGAAAGAAGCAACTTTTGCTAAAAGAATTCGCTTAATTACCCCTTTTTGTTAAATCCTAGGTCTTAATTTCTTTGTCACCTATTCTAAGCCATATGTGTCTGATATTGTCAAACATTTATTTGTCCAGATTTCGACTACAAACTTCGTCCCAACAATTTTGGTGATCCAAACCATAAAACGTAACAAAAACAAACAAGGTAGTGCAGAGGCCAAATATTTAAAAATGTTAAACAACTACTGACATATGACTCACATTTACTCTTACATTTGAGTCCCCTATTTGATTACGACTCAAGCAATTGAAGGTAACCAAATTTTTTTGCCTCAAGAATAAGGCGTTGAGTAATTCAACAAAAATGCAAATATCCCTTATGAGTCTATGACCGACAGGCAAAATTCTTGACAATTATTAGGTTATAAGAGTTGAGGTATTCGTCAATTTACCCCATGAACTTGTAAGGATTGGTCAATTTCCTCCCTTAACTTTAATTTTGGTCAATTTCCCCCCTAAACTCTCATAATTAGTCAATTTGTACCTTACTGTTATTTTTTTTAATTTTCCATCTATTCTTCTGTTAAGTAGGTATCCGCATGACTACCTTTAAAGGGCAAAAAAGTCATTTTCCCTACACCTTTTATCTTCTTCCTTTTCTTCAAACTTTCTCTTGTTCTTCCTTTTCTTCAAGCCGAGCCCATGACTCCCTCCAACGCCTCCCTCCTCCACTATTTGCAGCCCAATCCATTTGATTTGTTGCTTTTGCAGTTTGCAGCTGCCCACACCCCGTCGCCTCCTCCCTCAGCCTCGTCGACCTCTGGTAAGGTGTAGGGAAACCAACTTAACGGAAAATGACAGTAGGGTGCAAATTGAAAAAATGACAGTAGGGTGCAAATTGACTTTTTTTGCCCTTCAAAGTCAGTCATGCGGATACCTACTTAACAAAAGAATAGATGGAAAATTAAAAAAAATTAGGGTAAAGTACAAAAAACTACCTCAACTATTGGTGTCATGACACTTTCATACCTCATCTTTTAAAATTGACAATGTCACCTCATCTTTAGAATTTGGTCCAATGTTATACCTTTCGTTAACTGGCCGTTTACTTTTCGGTTAAATGCTGACGTGGCTTGATTTAGAGCCCACTTTCTATTAAAAAATTATTAAAAACTAAAAAAAATTATTTAATATTTTTTAAATATTAAAATAATAAAGAAAAGTTATAAAAAAAAAACACCCCTTAGTTCATCCCTCCCCCTCCCCCCTCCTCCTTTCTCTTCTCCCCATCTTCATCGTCTTCCCCCCACCTGCAACCTCCAACAACAAAATAAAAAAATAAATTCCAATTTGTCTTCCCCTACATCTACCCTCAGTTTGTCTTCCCCCACCCCCTCTTCTCCCTCCTGCAACCCAGAAAAAATAAAATAAAATAAACCCAGATCCCGTCAGCGGGAAGATGGGTGCGCTAAGATGATGGAGGATTGGTGTAAGAGGATGTGGAGAATGGATGAGAGTGGTGGATTTGGGGTTGGCAGGGGGTTAGGTTTGGGGGGGGGGGACGAATTGGGTTCGCTTTGGATTTTTTTTTTTTTCTTCTTTTTTTTCTTTCTCGGTTGCGGCGGCCGGGGGGGTTTTTTTCTTCTCCTTCTTCTTTCTGGGTTGCAGGGGGGGAGACGAACTGGGTTAGGTTGTGGTTTTTTTTTTTTCTTCTTCTTTTTCCTCCTTCTTCTTCTTTCTGGGTTGTAGGGGGTGGGGAGGGGTTGATGGGTTTTCAAATTTTTTTTTTGGTTGAAGATTAAGCAGGGAAGAAGATGAAGATAGGGAGACAGAGAGAGGGAGAGAGAGAGAGATAGGGGAAGGGACGAAGAGGGAAATTTTTTTTTTCTTTATTATTTTAAAAAATATTAAATAAAATTTTTAAGTTTTTAATAATATTTTATTAAATTTTTAATAGAAATGAGCCCCGACTTAAGCCACGTTAGCATTTAACTGAAAAGTAAACGGCCAAGTAATGGAAGGTATAACATTGGACCAAATTCTAAAGATGAGGTATGACATTGTCAATTTAAAAAGATGAGGTATGAAACTGTCGTGATACCAATAGTTGAGGTAGTTTTTTGTACTTTACCCAAAAAATTAATAGTAGGGTGCAAATTGACTAATTAGGAGACTTGAGGGGGGAAATTGACCAAAATTAAAGTTGGGGGGGGAAATTGGCCAATGGTCACAAGTTCAGGTGATAAATTGATGAATACCTCATAAGAGTTTGGAACAATGACTCCCATCGACCCACCACTTTCACTACTGGGCTAACTCCAAAGTGGCTTAGAGTCACAAATTTAGGCTTGGCAAACAGATCGTGTTTCTCATATTCGCATTCTTTTTATGTCATACCAATGATCATAACGGATCGTGTCGTGTCAAACCCGTTATCTTAACGGGTTCTTAACAAGTGACTCGATAATGACCAGTCGTGTCATTTCGTGCCAGGTTAATGGGTCATACAAGAAATTGTCATGCATAACGTCAAGATGTGGCAAACGGTAGTGTTTGTGTCATTTACGTGTCATTCCCGTTATCTTAACAGGTTTTTAACGTGTGATTCGATAACTATCCAATTCGTATTGATCCCAAATCTGTTACTTTCGTGTCATTTCGGGTCGAGATAACATGTTGTGCAAGAAAGCCAGCCTACTCAAACATTTCTTTATCAAAGGCAAGATAGAACATTTTTTTAACACAACAAGGTTGATGAAACTAGAGAACAAATCCACACAATATCAAAACATAATAAACTTAATAAAATGAATATATAATATTATTAAAAGAAGATGAATTTAGACGCCTCATTTATGAGAAAATTGTGAGATTTCTTGTTAATGTTTTGTATTTTGTGTATTTGAATCAAAAGGAATTTTAGTGTTTGGTAAGAAATCAGAGTAGAGAAAATGAGAATGAAGGGAAGTGACGGCTTGCTCAACATTGCAGCTTTACATTCGCGCGCGCGCACACATATATATATCATCAAAATGGTAAGGTTTTTGGTCCCATTTACGGTCATCAATCTTATCTCCATTAAGAAAGAAAACAAAGGACTCTACCTAACCTTGTACTGTTCTAATCTTAACCATACAACCCAGTTTTAATCTGCCTTCCATTTGTCTATTCGGACTTGGCTTGAGAACTAGCCGTTGGTCTTTTGAACTTAACCATCATTTTGAACTTCGTGAATATGTTGAACACCTCAGACTTATACCTCATGAAATATGCTCAACACATCCTAGTATGATCATCTATGAAGGTTAAATTTTTTTTGTTCTTAATCACTTTTGCAGTTTGCATTGAACCACAAACATCTGTGTGGATAATTTCCAGAGATTGTGTAGCTCTCCAAGTCTTGCATGTCTCAAAACTATCTCTATATGATGCTTGCTAAGACACATCCTTCACAGGTTTCATTTCCTTCTTGCAGCTCAGGTAGTCCTAGGACTATTTCCAGTTTCCGTAAGTCTCTCAAACTTTGAAAATTCAAGTGGCTATATCTCTTATGTCATAGCCAAGTAGTCTTTGTGACACTTGTTCTCAGTGAGATAGACTGACAATAGCTTAGTAACAATGGAAAGCTTCTGTTTACTGTCATTTAAACCCTGGTGACCAAGTTCTCCAAGCTTCTGTCATCAAAGATTTCTACCATTAAGTCACCAAAAATAGAAAATAGCATGTAGTATCATCTGGCCTACACTTAAATTCTTATCCAGCCCAGGTATCAACAAGACTTCTTTGATATATCTTCTTCCTTGTTTTGTCTCAATCACCAAAGTGCTTATACCAGTGGCTTTCACAAGTTATCCGTTGCCCATTTTAACTCTTCCAGTAATTCCCTGTCAATGTTGATGAGTAAAGACTCATGTACAGTCATACGGTTGCTGCACCCAGTGTCAATGTACCATACACCTTTATTCTTCTCAATGGTAGTGACATTGCAAGCATAGAACAAATTTGTCTCCTCCTCAACTTTGTGTGCATATTTTACAGTTGATTTCCTTTAGAACCACAATCCTTGGACAAATGACCAAACCTTTTACACTTGTGACATTTGGGTTTCCCCTTGATCCAACAAACACCGAGATGATCATTATCAAAGATTTTGCAGAGTGGCTTTGTGCCTTATGTATTATTTCTCACAGGCAAGCTTGGTTTTCCGTCCCATTTTTTACTTTTCCCTTTCCATGTTTTCTTTTGTTGCTTGAAGTTGTTATATGACCAGTTGAATCCCCTCTCTAGGATTAACACTAAAGGACTAAAAAGCCCTTTCTATGGGTGCACCAGCATGCCTTTCTAGCCTTTGCTCAAAAGCTTTCAAAGAAGCCATAACTTCTTGTGCATGTGTCAATGTCCTTAGTTTACTTTATAACTTTACTATAGAATCATATGGTCTTGTCAAACTGATTAGTAATTCTGTACAAGTCTTTCCTTAGGTAGTTCTTCCCCAAGAGTTTTCATTTGGTTCACAGCATTAAACAATCTATTAAAATAATCTTTAAGAGGTTCATCCTCTCTCATGCGTGTATACCAGAATCACGTCTAAGAGATTGAAGTTCTACTTGGGTTAACTTCTTGTCACCTCTGTATTCTCTTTGCAGGACCTCTCATGCAGCTTTGGCCATCTCTTCATGTGATATTCGGGGGGAAATGGCATCTGAAACTGCCCATTGTATTGTTCCCAGAGCTTTAGGATCTCTCATCTCATTGTCTCTCAATATATTTTTCAAATCACAGAGAGTTCCTCATCATCCTCTAACTCATCATCAGACTTTGGAATTTCATACCCTTCTTGAACAATTTTCCAGTGGTCTTGTGACTTGAAGATGGTGGTTATCCTAATCCTTCAAAAGTCATAGTACTCTCCGTTGAAAATATGAGCTCTAAGCTCACCGCTGCTTAATCCAGACTTCCTATCAGTTCTTGAATCACTTTCTAGGCTCTGATACCATGTTAATGTATTGTATTTGTGTATTTGAATCAAAGAGAATTTCAGTGTTTCGGTAAGAAATCAAAGTGGAGAGAATGAGAATGAAAGGAAGTGACGGCTCCCCAACATTGCAACTTTACATTCAGATATACATCATCAAATTGGTAGGTTTCTGGTCCCATTTACAATCTTACCTCTATTGAGAAAGAAGATAAAGGACTCTACCTAACCTTGTACTGTTCTAATCTTAACCATACAACCCAGTTTTAATCTCAGCCCTCCATTTGTCTCTTTGGACTTGGCTTGAGAACTAGTTGTTGGTCTCTTAAACAAAACTAGCCGTTGGCTTCTTCTTGTTGCTGGAAACTGTTTGGCTTCCAACATTTCTCACTAGCCTGTAAAACCATGATCTCAATTCATACACATCTGGGCAGCTTAGCCCTGAATCATGACTAAATGATACAAGTACCAAAAATCAATGAAAGAATTAGCAGCAGCACACTCTATATATGTATATATATATCTCTCTGTATTTCTTTGTTTGTTTTTATTTTTTTTTTAATAACATAACACCCCTCCAACTTTCAATTGAAACCATCCCTCGTGTCACAAACCCTTCATCTTCTTTTATGGTCAATTGATCTTCAGAGAGCTTCTTCTTCATGACGACAAATTATATGAACTCTAAGCCCATACATACAAAGTAGTACTCACCAACACAACAAATGCAATCGAAAAAGAAAACAAAAAAGAAAAAACATTAACAAAACAACGACAGTTTTTGCTTGCTATATTGTTACCTCTCTCTCTCCATCTCTCTCTCTCTGAAATCATGGAACTCCCTCTGCTCTCTCTCTATGCCTCGGAAACTTTTTTCTGTCTAACCCCACCATTGATGCACCGCAACACCTTCGTCCCGAAGCTGTCCGTACAATGCTAAGCACTGCCAATATGCCCTGCGGCTCCTAACATTAATTTTTTGATTATGTCCCTGGTGCTTGCACTCCAAGAAAAGCTCATCCACCAAATGAATCGCTTTACTCTTCACCATCTCCTCCACCACCTCGGCCTCGGCCTTCATCACCACATACTCCTCATCCTTAACATTCTTGTTCAGCCACTCCGATATTCCGGTCTGAACCACCTCCTTCCCGGAACTATCCTCTGTTACAGTCTCGATCTTGTACATCTCAAAGTTCTTGTCCCGGGTAGGGTAGTTCTTTGCGAACCAGCTCGTCCCACTTCCGCCTTCCTTCTCTGGCAACCCTACGTCAATGAAAACCCTTCTAGGGTAGCTCTCGAGCGAGTCACCCATCAAGTCCGGGAGGTACCTTGTTCTCTTCAAGTACCTCCTCGATTTCCCAGATGAGGCTCTCGGGGGCTCTAGAAGCACATCTTCGAGCTTCTTCAGCGCCTCCTTCTTTGCCTCCTCAGCCAAGAGCCTTCTCCTTGTGGGAGAGGTGGTGGTAGAGGATGAAGTTTCGGTTGCATGGGTGCTGGTCTTCCTCATTGCCAAAATGATCGTGTCAAATCGCCTCAGGTACACCATCTTGTAGTTGTTAGGCTTCTTGAAACTGTTAGAGGCGTCATTGCTGAGCGAAAGCACGACAATCCCATGGATTTTAAGGGTCCTTTCGATAAACTTTGAGGCATCAGGGAAGGCAGAGACGAAGGCAAAGTCGATTGAGTTTTCAGGGGTTAAGCTTCGTTTGTCGGAGTTGATAAGCTCGATTTCCTTGATATCATCGTTATCAAGGATCTGAGATGCTTTAACAGCTTCTTCATCTCCGTTGCTTACGTAAACAGCTTTATGTGTTCCTTTCCTGTATAGACCTTCGTTGGCCAAGTCGCGGAAGATCAAAGGCAGAAGCTCCAGATTAACCACGTCGGATGAGCTCATTATTTCAGGCAGAGAAGTGGTTGCTGTGGGAAGGAGTGAGTTCAACCACGGGAGTGAGGCGATGCACAAAGCCAAGATCAAAGAACGAGCAACGAGGATCAAGGCTCTGGAATTGGGAATCCGAATAACCAAGTACTTGGCATCTGGATACAATCCGATTGGAGCAGCATGCTTTGGGTGGCATTTGGTACGGAAACCTTGGATCAAATTGATCGCCATAGTTGCGAAAAAAATTTGGGTATTAATACTGTGTGCAAGTTTGAGAATTTCTAGACTAATAATTCGGTCGGACAGGTAAAAGATTGAATTGTGAGAAAAAAAAAAGAAAAGAGAGCAGATGAATGATTGTTTTGGGAGAGAGAGGGAGAGGGCCACACGAAGAGCGAAAATAATTTAGCGAGTGCAAAACCGGGCGGCTGTGTGATTCCCACCCACGAGGGCCACACGAGCGCTTTGCATTCTAGACCATAATAACATCAACTGCCTCATCCTCTGCACCTCCATTCCTCTTGATTTTTTTACCCAGATCGGTGTGTTTAATGTGAGTCTCCGCCAATTAGTACACTTTATTTGCTCGTCGTCATCATCATACCTTGTACAATGCATGTGTAAATTAGCGAGACATTGTGCGCGAAAACCACATTACACCCCGATCAGAGATTCATGGAGGGAGGACTACAGAGAGAGGCGTTGTTGTTGTTTTTTTTTTTTTTTTTTTTTGTTTGGTCTAGAGGAAAATGATATGTACAATTGGGCGATGGGGTGGTGGGGATGGGAGAGAGGAAGAATATATATATTTATATACACGGGACGCTTTACAGACAGGTTTTGAAAGGGAGAGAGAAGGGGGAGGTCTTAAAACACGGACGGAGCTAAATTTTGCTGTGAGAAAGAAATGACCGGTGCAACGAGAATCGAGTTTGGCCGTTGCTTCGTCCTTCACGCATATTCGTGCATGTATGCATGGATTGTAATTTTTCCTATCAAACTGCTATAATTAAGCGTAATTGGTTGTAACATACACAGCGACTTCAGGGTGGCATATATGCATTGCTTCACTTAAAATCATTGATATAGGTTACATTTTGCTAACCTTCAACGACCTCTCCCAGTTTTATTCAAACTAACAGCAGATATGACTCCGAAAAGAAAAATTCTATGGCATTGCTAGCTAGCTAGAAGCATTTTGTTTTAATTATAAATTAGGAACCATACATGTTCAAATTATAAATATAGCTTTCACCATTTCACAAGAAGAATGTTTATCATAAAAGCACATCAAATGAAATAAACAATACAACAATTTTAACAAGTTGCTCAAACCAAACCACCAGTGTAAGGGACTCCAGTGTCAGGCAACCAATTATCCCCCAGCAAGAAGTTGGAGACTGTAAAATTAGCAGCAACAGTTGCATTGATCACATGGTAACCGGGCCATGTAACTCTATTTGTAGTGCTTGATCCAGGACCAGTGTTATTGTACTCAGCATAATACAATGTACTTAGTGCAAAGTCTCCACTCCAAGCAAGCCATCCAGCAGGATCAATTAAACTTCCCATGAAAGTTTGCATGTAAACTGTTCTTGAATACTCCTTCCATGGCCTCCCTAGATAGGTCTTGACAGTATAATTACTCGAAGCCAAATCAGGTGTAGGTGTAATAGTGCAATTGTGGATTGAAGTTCCTGTGTTCTGATTCGGGTCTGTTCTACCTTGAGCTGTGATGGGATTGGATTGCCCTTGATTAGGCTGACGAGGGTAGATATTGCAATTTTGTAGAACAACAGCAGCATTGCCGAATATGAAATCAACTGTTCCATAGATATCACATTCTCTGTAGAATTGTCTGAGGGAATGTGTGTACAAGGTATCTTGGTACCCTTCAAAGCTGCAACTATAGAACACTGAAAAATCCGCTCCACTTCGAAGTGCAACTGCTTGTCCTTTGCTTGGCCCAGCTGTGTTACGAACAGTGATGTTTACTGCCATAAACCCTTGTGCCACCACAGCTGCAATGGGGATCACGAAGTAAATTATATAGCTTATATCAATCATCTTTAAAATATTTGCAATTGTAACATATTGTATAGATTTTTAATTCTCACACACATATATTTTGTCAGACAATCATATATATATGTTACGTAGTCAGCTTGTTTATTAAATTTTGAACCTTACCTAAAGTAGCAGAATTGAAAGTTGTCGATCCATCTCCTACGCTGTTATTTCCTGTGATGATAGTCTGATTGATACCATCTCCGATGAACAACAAATACTTCTTTTGTGATATAATTGACACGTACTCTTCATAAACACCGGCAGTGATATATATCATGAAGTACCCACCACTAGCAACAGAGTTATTTGGTGCAATGGCAATGGCTTGATTGATGGTGGTGAAGTTTCCACTTCCATCTTGACTCACAACCACAATGTCCTTCACCAAAACTTCTTCATCTCCCACCTGAAGTAGCCTTCTTCCCCGATGATTGATAGCGGAGTCATAAATTGCACGAGCATGGCTTGACATTTTCAAGTTCAAACGTCCCTTCCCGAATTTGAACTGCCTCTTGGGTTGCTTTGGCACCCCATTTTTGTCCTTAGGCACCCAACCCTTGGTAAAGAGAGCCAAAGAGGTACTAAACAATTTTGTGTTGTTAGAGAGTGGAACTGATAGATCACCTAGGACACTCCCAGCTGAAGAAGGCAGAGATGCAATCCCATCAGAACAAGTTTGGTGGTTGGTTAGAATTGCGCTAAGCAATGTTTGGACATCATCGGCATCCAAGATAGGAAGAACATCACTCACTTTGTTAACAGTTTCAAGGGAGCTCGATAAGAAATCAATGTTTAACAATGCAAGCTGCTTGCAGTCCTCAAGTGCTTGGATTGCAGGATTTGTTAAACTTGAACCCTTTTGAAGATATTTTTCATACAAATCTAAGAGCTTATGGGATTCGGAAAGTGCACGTTGGACTGAAAACCTGCCAAAGTCATAGACACTTTCGTTGTTGTGGGGAAGGACAGATGTGCAGTAAGAAGGATGTGGGGTGGACTTGCAAATGGTTTCTGGTGGGAGAGGAGTGTTTAGAGGGACATCTGCTAGCGATCGAGAGCTGAGGAAATGGAAGATTATGAGAAATGATGAAACTTTCACAAGATGAAAGAACTTAGAAGCCATTGCTACAATGGAGAGGTTTGAGGAATTAGTGTATAATAAGGTCACGGGGTGTGCATCTATATATAATATGATCAGGAATTTGACTATTATTTAGAGAATATAAAGTTGGTATAGATTGTCGAGAAGTAAACGTGCACGATTTTATGTCCAAATAAGAGTGCTCCAGTCTTCACAATTCAGATGGATATACACTATATTGATTTATTGATGAGGAAGAATGAAGGCTACAGCAGCTGTCACATATATATTAATAAATACAGAAAACGAAAGTGCATGTTAAATTTTATTTTTAGAAAACCACAATGTAACACATTTGTAACAGAATGATCTAACGTATAGTTTGTTAAGACTAATGCTAACATGTTTTTACACCATATTAGAAAGCAGAGCTTAATACCGTGAGCTTGAAACTGAGTAGAGCATTTAAATGGCTGTAGTATAAGAATTTATCAGGGAACTATAGTTCTACATGGCGTATTATAAATTACTCCATAAAGATCGTCTTTGCAAAAAATCAATTAAAACTAAGGCCATTAATCATCGAACTGTATAAAAACAGTTGAACGTAATTGGTAAAAACATTACAAACCGTCTATATATTTACTACAATAAAAGACCTTAGTTTTATTTTTTATTTTTTATTTTTTTTTGCATATATGATCTTTACACAATAATTTATAATATATATGAACAATTCTGATCATTAGCACAAATCTCTATAATTCGAACACATATTTTTTTGAGTAAGAGTTCCTATCTTTGAATAGACAAGCATTGTTCGACCCTGATTACCTCATTAAACAGTGTAGAAACAAGATTTTTTCCTTTGATGCTATTGGTTTATTTAACGATATACTAGTAATAGATATATTCCTGGAAGATTCGTTTGTGTCGCTCCACTGTCCTGTCATATGTCATTTGTCGACGTTGGGTCAATTGGCACTTGGTGCCTAAACGGAATTATATGTTCAAAAACCATGTACACAAGTGGATGTATTCAATTTAATCATTTTTATGTCGGTGACATAGCAGGCCATGTTCCAACCTTATGTAGTCTAATATTCCAAAAGGATATTAATAGTGGCTTAATTGAAAAATAAAGGGTATTTGGAAGTTATTAGGTGATGAGGATAGATGTGGATGGCATAACCCTAAGTTTAGAGAACAGCGCGTTAGGGCCGCCGCATCCATGCGTATAGTCAACGTACACGACGTGCATGATGTTTGGGCGCGCACCAGAGGACATGTAGATCCCCAATACATATTACATACATATATACACAAAAAGTTGACGAAATTAAGTACCCTACAGTGTTATAAAAATCTTCGCTTAGCACCGTCTAGACCCGTATAGGCATTAGGCGACTATCACAATTAATCCATAAGCGTTTAAAAAAATAAGAAATGGTGACAGCCCGCTTATTCCCCTAGGTACCAGTCTAGACCACATAGATTATGACTCTTACTTAGATAGAAAATAGATAATTTTCATTTTGCATTTTATTTTTTCAATAAATTGTAAGAGACTTAGACTTATTGGATACTTTGATGAACATTCATTTTATGTTTATTCCTCATGTTTTCAATATATTCTAGTACTTATAAATGTCATTTTATTTGGCAATTTATGTATCTCATATAATTATGTATTTTTTAAGTATAAGTAGACATTTATTTACATGTTATATAATAAATTTACTTAAAATTAAAAAAAAAAAACTGCCTAGGTGCCTAGGAGTTAGGCTCTGCCTAGGTGCCTAGGAGCTAGGCCCTTCTCGCCGCCTAGGCGCTAGGCCTTTTTTCGCCGTCCGACTAGCGCCTTGCACTTTTTAAAACCATGCTCCATATATAATTAAAAGGAAAATTGCAAAATGAGTTAATTATTCATTTCAAAACGAGAATATTTTTTAAGAGATATTTCACCTACCATTTTTAAAGATATTTCAAGTACCATCTCTTCAAAGGAGAATTTTAAAGGTATTTCACCTACCAAAATAATTATTATATGATATAATCAAGCATCCGAATTTGGATCAGA